TCTTTATGCTTCCATACTCATAAGCTACTCAGACCCATCTAGGTCACACTTTGTTATTTCCTCTTTAGCCCTCTTACTTTACCTACTTTGTCTTTGATGAGGGTCCAGCTGGCATCAGCTTCATCCAGTGTTAGCAGTTGGGGGGTACCAACCAACATGGTGGGATATGGGAGGGGTTGGGCAGGGCAGTGGCTGCTGCAGGAACCCCAGGCTACCCAGGGAGGTGAGGCCTGGCCTTAGGCTCTGACCTACTATCACATGAGGTCATAGAGGTCCTGCTGGGTGATGGGGCCTTTGAGTGGGGAGAGGGCAATCACTTTCCTAGCCTTACTGTCCTCTCAGCCTGAGTCCGTTCGCTTGAGTCACCTATCCTGCTTTAGGGTAGGAAAATGCAGGTACCATTAGGGTGTGTGTGTGCGTGCGCGTGCCCGTGCGTGCACATGTGTAGTTCTTTAAGGAAACAGGATGAGGTCTCTCCTCCCTTCAGTAGCCTCCTTGAAACAATTTGATATGTTCTCTTGTCACCTACAGATGACTTCTTTGTGAGGTTGCATAGGGGGCCTTAAGCACATTGGAGAAGAAAAGATCAGGACTGAAACTAAGAATCCAGTAGTGGTTCTCAATCTTGGCCATACTTTGGAATTACCTGAGAACTTTAAAAATTACTGATGCCTGGCCGGGCCAGGCCAGTGTGGCTCAGCTGGTTCGGCATTGTCCTGTGCACTGAAGGGTTGCTGATTTGATTCCTGGTCGGGGCACATGCCCGGGTCCTAGGCTCGATCGCCAGTGTGGGGCGTGCGGGAAGCAGCCGATCGATGCTTTGCTCTCTCGCATTCATGTTTCTCTCTCTCTCCCTCTCCCTTCCTCTCTCTCTTAAAAAATTCAATAAAAAAATTTTTAAAAAAATTACTCATGCCTGGATCCTACCCTCAGAAATTCTGATTTAATTGATCTGGGGTGTGCTTGGGCATCAGGATTTCTAAAAGCTGCTCAGGAAATTTTAATGCGCAGTCAGGGTTGAAACCTATTAACGCGTGGGTTACAGTTGCAATGAAAACCAGGTGTGTGTGTAGGAGAGTGCCATGCTGAACTGTGACAGTGTGGAGGATAAGAATCTAATTGGGGTACTGTTGCCTTAGTAACTGGAGAGAACTTTTAGGAGCCAGAATTACCCAGGTAAATTTGTGGAAATTTTTATTTGTGCTTCACTCCGTCTTAGCCTAATCCGTGTCTAGTAAGTACTCTCCTACGACAGCCCTAAAGTGTGTGTTTTCCCCTTGTGTCTCTGACTAGACATCTTAACCTGCCCTTTTGCTGGAAGAGTGGTATTTCCTAAGAAGAACCATTCTAGAGAGTCTTTCTGGTAGCTGCTCTCCCTCTCTACCCCTTATCTATCCAAAGAGCTCTCTTGAGTCCCTCTGTAGAGTCTCCTGTATGCCCAGAAAGACCCCTCATGTATGGGGTCTTCCCTGTCCTGGCTCAGCACGTGGAGCTATCCCACAAAGTCAGTAATGTCCGAGCTGGCCGAGGTAGTATGAGTGTGGAGCACAGGAAAATGTCCTACAATGGTAGCAGAGAGTGTTGCCAAGAAAAGTTTCCTAAAGGAGATGTAACTGGGCAGGTATCCCTAGACAGAGCTAAGGGTGTGGGTGCCAGGTACTTGAGCAAAGGTTTGATAGTGGGCTTGAGCCGATGCTCCAGGGGAGGAATTAATATAAAATATTTGTTGAACTCTTACATGTTGGGGGCTGTGCCAAGCACTTCGAGTGCATTATCTTAGTTAATCCTTTTAGTAACCCCTTGAAGTAGGCACTATTATTTCCCCATTTTATAAGTGAATGAACAGGCTCAGAGTGGTTAAATAAATTAGTACAAGTCTACCTGATTCCAGCTTTTACCATCCAGTGGTAAGTAGTTCCTTTTAGTGAAGGGAGAAACCAACATGTTCCTTCTGCTTGCCTGGATGTGTGATGGGAGGGGTGCATGCTAGATGGAAGTGCAAAGTGGTGGAGTGAAGAGGAAATGAGTAGGATGAGAGAAGAGTTGCAATAGACCAAACCAGAAACTCCACGTTTCCTGTTGAGACAAGTGAAACCAAGTCTCTTCCTCCTAATGCCCCATTAGCACATTTTTTGTTATGGTTGACAAGGAGAGGTCATCTGGTATAGTATGGTTAGTACCTCTGTTCCCTGCAGAAAGGAATTCTGAGAGAGATACACAAGGACGAGACACAGACATGGAGCAAAACTAACAGTGGAAGGGGACAGAGATGCAGAAGTACAGAGACAATGAGAATTATTGATAAACAGGGGCAGAGAATGGAGCACATCCATATATTGAGGAGATTCCAGAATGAGAAGGGCCTGGATGAGGTAGGTGCAGAGATGATAGGCTGTTGGTAAAATTGATTGAGGATCTCTTTCGGATTTTTGTTCAAAGAGGAGGCTGAGGGGAAACTGAGTACTAATGAACTCTACACCCAGAAGCCTATATCTGTCTTGTTTTTTTGCTGTCTGATTACCATAATTCTCCAGGCTTCCTAAATTCCATACTGCCCTACCCTGACATTAAATAAGTTTGTCTTTCCTTTTGGCTCATAAAGTCTGAGACTGAAAGTTGCTGAAGGAAAACAGATGACAATTGATTTCTGAATGGAGTTGATGAGCCCAAAGGCTGGGCTGTGTGGGCCATTTTCTGCTCATGGGGTTTGCCTCCTGTGTGGCATGTTCTGGGGCTTCCCTGGGGAAAAACACAGATCATCTGCAGCATATGGAGTGACCAACTGGTAGGGACTGATTATCCAGAGAACATAAGGTTCTCAGCAACCTCTAGGGTAGGATAGAATGGTGTGGATAGCAAAGACTTTAGAGTGATAAAGAACCCTAACACATCTCTCAGGCTACAGGGGTAACTGTGTAAGTTTCTAACCCATCCCTCATTTGAAAACTTTAGGGATAGATGTGTTTTGTAATTCAGAATTTTTTAGATTTTAGAAAGGGAAAATAGTATCCTTATGTAAGACACAAAGACATGAGGCAAAACGGACTGAGAGTGCAAGGAGGAGACAGAGATGCAGAGGTATGGAGACATACCCCAGTGCCCTGTAATCAAACACATCAGTATTTCTGTAGCTAATATATGAATAGTCACACTAAGATAAATATAAATACAACTGTGAACAGTTTAGGTGACATTCTGGGCCAAAGTTATGAAAAAACTTGTTTGTTCAGAGATTTTTAAATTTTGTAATTGTAGATAAGGGGTTGTGGGTTTATAATTCTCAGATTGCTATGAGGAGCAAGAGAGTGCTGATAAAGCCTTCTAAACACGTCACATGGTAGGTAAGTATACAGTCTCAATCCAAAACAAAATACAGTGTCCAAAGGAGTGGATTTTTAGCTTGCAAGGAAGAAAGTTCTTACAACGAACAATGCACAGCTTTGGAATCAGCTGCCTTGGGGAGTTGTGCACAACCAGGGGGCGAAAGTGCCTTAGAAGAGAGGCTTCCTAAAGTGCCTTAGAAGAGAGGGTGGCAGAATTCATTGCTTACAAACATTGGCTGCCTATGATTTCCCTTTTCATGCACCAGAGGGGAAAGGCAAAAAATGGTGTGCGTGCATGTGTGACATAGGACTGTCACACACATTGTTTTACAATGTAATAAATATTGCATACATCTTTGTTCACATCTCTAATTATTTTGTCAGGATAGATTTATTGAAGAGAAACCCCTAAGAGAAGAATATGGACATCTTAAAGACCTGTGTCCCATTAAGATTAGAATTTTGTCACAATTATCTACACAGTTATTGTCTGGAGGGCTTTTTAACTCAGAACTTCGTGAAAATTACTGAGCTCACACTTGGGTTGAGGAAAAGTGTAGATTTCTTCTTCCACGTGGTTGCAGTATGACAACGCCTCTGAAAATCGTAGCTTCTGGACTATCCTTCAGTTCCTTGAAATGAGGGCCTGATGTGACCCCACGTGGTCCTGTAGTTGGTGTCTACCTGCTTTTCAGCTCTGCGACCTTCTGTGTGGTATCCCATGGTGTGTGGTCCAGCTTTCTGCTGAGAGGTCAGCGTTGCATCTGAATTCAGGTCTTTATGGCTAACTCCAATACTTGTGATTGTGATAGTTTTTCTGGAGCACTTGGGTCTGCTTGTGCAGCCTGCAGCTTTTTATGACCTCATAACAGTGGCTCCCCGCCTTGTGTCTGAGATTAATCTCATTCTGGACTCCATGCTGGTGTGAAAGATATTTTGTGCAATGTCCATCCTAGTGTGGAGTGGAAAGTGAATCTGCTGTTGGGCAACACCATGGCACATCCTGTTAGTATCTCTCTTCTCTGGCAGCCACAGCTATGTGAAATATTCCTATTTCATCACATTGCACCAGCACCATGTACTTCTGAGATGTTGGCCAGGACAAATGGGGTCGTCGATGAGGCTTTTATTTGGGAATCTACGTTCTTGACTGAGAATGCGCAAAAGAGCAGGTTGGTAAGATACCATAGTGATTCTGAACCTCAGGCAAGCAGGCGACATGGTTACAATGATTTTCTGGGATATCAAAATTTATTTCAGTTGGACTTCTGACCCACGAAGGTACAAGCCCAGGGAGAGAACTTCTAGCCATTAACTCTTAAGACTTTGGCAGTGGAGGGGTGGGGTTAGGGGAGAAAGTGATTACACACAAGACCAAGAGGATTCTCTGATCTAAGAATATCTTAGTTTCATCAGTGTCCTGGTGAAATGGGGATCCCAGGACACATTATCCAGATCCTCAGGGTGGGGGATATGCCTGTATGACTTCTTTCCTATAGACTGGCTGAAACAGAATCTGGTCTCCAGAGTCACTGTCCCTCTTCCCAGACCCCTAGATTCAGGACCCATAGAGGGGCTTTCGTGAAGGAACATGGGCAGAATTAAGTTAAAATTATGGGGAGAGGCAAGGAGGGGAGTTTTCTTTAAGTTAAATCTTGTGTACTAGGATCCTATGATAATTCCTGATCTTATTTTCGCTGCATGGTAACACATAGCACCCTGCCTCCTGCCTCCCCTCAGGCAGGATATGTGGCTTGACTAAACTACACATTCCAGAGGTACACATAGTAGGGGCTTCACAGCAAATATCTGTTGAGTGATTATGACAGTCATATGCTGATAATGGGACCAATAACATAATCCATACCTCCAGACACCAGATTCTCTGAAAGTCCTCCAGCTCCACCGCTAGGCTCCATTGTTTTCACTGCCCATTAGAACTGGCTTTTTCTGAATGTGAAGGTTTCCAGGAGCCGGTCCCTGATCTGCTTGGTGCGGGCCCCATAGATGAGAGGGTTGAGGGCAGGTGGCAGCAGCAAATAGATGTTAGAGAGAAGGATGTGCATGGGCTTGGGGACAGTGTGCTGACCAAAGCGGTGTGTAAGGTAGGAGAAGAGACCAGGCACGTAGAAAGCCAGAATGACACAGATGTGGGAACTACATGTACCAAAGGCCTTAGCGCGGGCCTCCTTGGTAGGCAGCCGCAGCACAGCGTGGGCAATGAGCCCATAAGAGCCAGTGATGCCCAGAATATCCACACCTGACACTGCCAGTGAGAGCGCCAGCCCATACAAGTTGTTGGCCCGTGTGTTACCCACCACCAGCTCCACCACCGCCATGTGTGCACAGTAGGCATGGTCTATAGTCTTGGCTCTGAAGTGTTCAAATCGTGCCACCAGCACAGGGAAAGGCACAACAATAGTCACAGCTTTCAGTGCCAGTGCCAGGGCTGCGCAGCCCACACGAGCTTTGGTGACCAGGATAGGGTAGTGCAGTGGACGCCCGACTGCCACAGCACGATCACAGGCCATGGCCAGCAGCACACCAGATTCCATGGCAGTCAGCGCATGAACAAAGAACATCTGGACCAGGCAGGCAGCGTAGGGCATTGGGCGGGGCCCGAGCCACAGCACAGCCAGCAACCCTGGGGCTACTGACGTGGCCAAGCCCAGGTCTGTGGCTGCCAGTGTGGCCAGGAGTAGAAACATGGGCTGGTGCAGTGTGGAATCTACCTGCACCACTGCCAGCATTGTCCCATTGCCCAGCAGGGCCAGCAGATACATGGGCCCAAAGACTAGTGTCAGCCAGGCCTGGGCACTCCCTAGCCCTGGAATGCCAGTCAGTAGAAAGAAGGCTGGGCGTAGGAAGGTGGTGTTGAACTGTGGAGCTTCTGCCATCCTGTGTGGGGCAAAGCTTTAAGAGTCATGGGGGCATGACTCTTGAGAGGGGAAGGACAAAGGGAGGGATTTTTGGGGTGTCACAGTGGCACAGACCTATCCATATAATATGAGGGGTAGTGCAGGGATGGGAAGATCACAGGATTATAATCTTTAGTTGGGGATTTGAATGGATAATCAAGATCATAACCCTAGCTAGGATGGGAGAATACTTTGCACCTGAAAGTTCATGAGGGTGAGGGAGAAGCGGGATAGTGGTATGGGGAAGAGGGTGGTCACTGCTGTAGTGGCTGGGACAGTTAGAGCCCTTCGGTTGGAGGCCAGCTGAAAGTGGAGCTGAGATGAATGTTTTTCTTCCCCAGCATCCAAATAGTCAGTCTCAGTCTCTGGCGATGGGGAGAAAGCCAGTGCTGGGTGGGGATCAGGCCTCAGGCTGGCCCTGTCCCTGACTGTGGATCCTTAGGCACAACTCCTGGGCCTCAGCTTCCTCATGTCTACAATGGGGGTGGGCTTAAGTGTTGCTCAGCTTTAACATTCTGGGCACTAACCCTCCAAGAAGAAAGGGGAGAGTAGAGAGAAAGGGCGAACAGAAGAGGAGGTAGATGGAACCTGGAGTGAAGCTGGAAGTCTGGTGTGACAGAAGACCGTAGGTTTTGGGGATGTGGGGTGCTTACATTTTCTTTAACTTGATGCTGAAATAGTGAACTTGAACATCAGCTGGAGAGTTGAAGTTGAGCCTGGGAAGCAACGGAGAAAGGGAGAGATGGTAGCAAAAAGGAACTTCTCTCTTTTCCTTCTTTATCATCCAGAAGGGGGTCCCACTAGAGTCTCATTCCTGGTGTGCCAGAGGGAGTGGTGACAGGGAGGAGGGAATGGCACTCAACCTGGAGAAGCAGCCATAAGAGGAAGAAGCACCTCTGGGGCTGGAGGAGTCAGGCTGAGCAGAACCGATTCCTCCAGAGCGGAGCCCACGGCAGAGGCTTATCACTGCTGAATGAACAAACAGAGGAAAAAAACAGCAGGAGACATGACCGGGGGAAAGTTCCCCTGCACAGTATGTTGGCATCTCCTTCTCGCCTAGACCGGTGCCTGTGGGGCCCTTTATGTGACTGTTCTACCTGCTTCCCTCAGGGCCCTTACCCCTCCCACCTGTGCCACATTAACTCTTCCCTGTCCTGACTTTGCTCAGTGCCGATAGGGAGGCAGAGAAGGGGCGACAAGGAGAGAGACTGACTTAGGGGAGTAGGAAGATCTGGGAAAGGGGAACACGTCCCCTGGGAGGTCTTTGCTGCAGGGAAGACCTTGCTTTATTCTTTAATAGCATCCCCTTCGTTGTAATTACTTGTCTATCTTTTCCCTGCTAGACTGAAAGAGTTAGAGGCAGTGCTTCCTATTAGCCCCAGCATCTCCACAGTGCTCACCACAATGCCTGGCAAGCAGTTGTCTATGAATAAACATCTATTGCTTTTAATTGTGGGGCAGAAGTGCTGACCCAAACAGCATTTGCTGACTAACAGGGGCTCCTACAGTTTCAGCAGCCTTAAGTGTCCATGGAGATGAGAAAGAAAGAATTAGTCGCCATCAACCACAAGTCCACTGAGTATGATTCGTTCTGTTATAACAAAACGTATCCTAAACATCATCACCCTATGCAAGATAATGCAATAAAGAACACAGGGCTTGGAGGAAAAATGGGAGGAGGGGAACAACATTCACAAACTTCATCAGTGACATGTTTAAAAAGGAGAGTAACCTAACAAAAATGGTAGCACATGTTAAATGATTAGAAAGTACATAAGTGCACCAGTAAATATGACATGTCACCTTGAAAAGACCTGGAGTTTTCCCTGTGGAAGTGAGTGTTGGAAGCAGCTTGTGAACTGTTTTTGCTAGTTGGTGCTTTTAAAGATGTTTTTAAAATTGATTTTTAGAGAGAGAGGAAGAGAGAGGGAGAGAAACTTTTTCTTTCTTTCTTTCTTTCTTTCTTTCTTTCTTTCTTTCTTTCTTTCTTTCTTTCTTTCTTTCTTTCTTTCTTTCTTTCTTTCT